GGTTAGAATTTCAGAAACTTTGAAGCGCTTCGAATGTACACCCCGAAACAACCATAATAATATTTGCATATCAATCGCACAACATTGTCACAACCATCAAACATGAAACAATCAAAAATAATCATCTCCAATTGTAATAATGAATCGAATACCAATAATAAATAATGAGATGTATCAACAATTAAAGGCGCATCAAAATGGAACGAGCTCATAATATGCATAAAATAACATTAAACGTCCAAACGCTCACTTCATTTCAAGAATAAATCACACACGAAATCAATTTCATCCCAAAAATACCCTAAAAAGTACCATGTATAGGATCGATTTGATAGAAAGTATTTTTATAGGCTATAGTCGAGGACGAATGATGACAATCAAGTACTGTATGTTCGAAGTACGAATCGCATGTGATAATATTTTGGAATGTCTTATCACATACGATTCGTACTTCGATTAACAATACTTTTTTCGCAGTGCAGTGTATCGTATGCTATTCAACATAACCAGATGAATGCTATTGGTTAAAAAGAATTGAATAAATATATCATAAAGACGAGAGATATCACAAAATATGAATCGTGAACACCATTAAATTGAAGAATCATTCGTGAAGACAAATTGATGAATGAACAAATATCGTTGAAAAAAAGAGAGTCGAACGATTATATTAATGACAAGTTGCCCTCAAGACAAATTTTATAAGTGAAACGATGCGAGTAGATAAACAACGATAGATAATTGAAGATAAGAGAATCGCACGACGAAAGAAAGAAAAATACATTGGATGTGTTTGTCTTCACGATAGGATAAGGAGATTTCTCTCTCTCCTATATAATATCTACCGTCACCGAAGTACTTTTTAATAATTAAATTTAAAAAATTAATTAAAACAGTTCAAATCCCCCGCCCCATACGATATACACAACGAAAATGAGCGCGAAGATTGCCCGGGGCTTTATCCCACGCTACAGTATACCTCACAATTGCTATAAGCAGCTAACTGTCATAAGCAGTTAGCTG